ACAGTAAATACATAGAAACCATTCGCTGGGCGGGTGTTTTACAAAAAGTAAAAACTCAAGCAGCGTCACTCAGAGAAATAAATAAGCTGAAAACGGTAACTTAGTTCTTTTTTAAGGTAGTAGGTAAGAAGTTTGCTTAGAACAAGATATGAACGATCACTTAACCTTCTCTCATTTAAAAAACTTTCGTCACTTCTATCTGTTGGTCATATCATTTAAGTACAAAGTAAAAAGATCGGTAGACTAGGAACATCTAAGTGTATATGAGGGCACCTTACGATTTAAATAAGATATAGAAGTTGTACCTACCATTGAAATTCTTATTTTTCAAAAAAAAAACATGTCTATAGAGATTGTATAATACTTTCATAATTGTAAATTTCAATAATATTTACACAAAAAAAAAAATTCGGAATTTTATTATACAATTAACATTTTGATATAGATAAAATTTAAAAATAGAATTTCACTAAAAGTATCAAAGTCCTGTCTATATTTCAACCAAATTATAACATAAACTCATATCTTCTTGGTCTAAAGGACGTCCTACTTATAGATCAAAAACTTTGAATCACTTTGGATGAATTGCTCGTAAGATATTCATTCGATCTTTAAACAACAAATCCTCACAATGACACATACTCTCTCATTCAATACATTATAGCGCACAGCTGGCAATTCTGTTCTGTATATATTCAAAAAACAAAAACCTATAGACTATAAAAGCGAACTATTTCAACATAGGAATAAAATTTGCATAACTTTTTCCTCGATTGATTACATATATCATTATGTGAAATACAAGATTTAACGATGGTTCAATCAAGAAATGTTTTTTTTTCAGCAAGAAAAAGAAAAAGAATCCCGTGACCGATGATGAACTATATGTGTCCGTCAACTAACCAGGAAAGAAAAAAAAAATCTAGACAATATATTACTGCATGAGAGAAAAAGAAACACTGACATGCGTCGCTTTTTTTTATCAAATAAAAACTAAAGTAGCGGTAACACCTGTCTTACAAAAAAAGAAAGACAGATAGAACGATTGCATAAACCATTTAAATTATAAATTATTTCGATTGAACCAACTGAACATACTTAAAATTTGAAGAGACAATACAACTGATGTATACATTATATTAATCTATAGAATCAATCTATTAGAATTTAAACGTCCGCGTCTTAGTATTCGAAGGATTTTAGAATTAGTAAGAACGAAACGTTGAGTACGTGTTCATACACATACTCAATTGTTCTTACATCTAACTTCAAGATAGCAAGTTATTGAATCTGACACACACAAAAATATTTAGACAAAATCATTATATAATGGATGTAGGAGAAAGACAAATGCTGTAACTTTGAAAATAGTATATAACTTATTTTATGTAGAAATGCTCTTATGTACATAGGTATTATTAAAACCTTACGTAATGGACACTTCACGATCTCACGGAATGATTTTTCCTGGAAATGAACTTTTCTATAGTGAACACTGTCATATAGTTCTATGATGGATACTTTCGAAAAGTTCCAATGATGTCTACTACAGAGAAAATTTTTTAACAACTATTAATTTTCCAACAAAAAAGCATGGAGGCGATTGTTTGTTCAATAACTCGACAATGCTGATAGCTATCGAGCTCGGATTTTCGCCATTAGAAAGAGCATGAATGGGAGTACAAGTCTAATTGAGAATTAAAATACTTGAAAAGTTTTAGCCAAAAAGGATGTTCCTTTCTCGAGATATTAGATTTTCAATTTCATTTGAAAATATACCTAATCAGACAGTGGTTTTACAAAAAACATTTTGATTCTTAGGTAGACTTGTATCCTTCACTCATGCTCTTTGTAACGGCGAACATTCGATTTCGATAACTATCAATGTTACTGAGTTATTCAACAAATAATCGAATCCATTGTTTTTTGACATGGATAATAATTATTTTATTTACTAATATCTTTCAGATATCTAAACAATGTGTCTGTTTCTTATGAAAAAAACTTTATTTTTAGAAAAAAAATAACCTAATCTTTTTACAGTAGACATTTTTGAATTTTTTTTATATGTAAATATTAATACTTGAACGTTCCGTATCACTAACATGTTACTTGTTTGACGATGAGAATGTCTTTGATGAAAGCTGTTGTGTATATAATATATGAATAAGATGACAGATCAATAAATCAACATATATTTTAATAAAATATGTTTAAGTACATAAACTTCACATCTCTTTACTTTCTATGAGAAGTAAATAAATTTTTCAATTAGAATATTTAAAATTGGCCATTGTTTTTTTTTTCTATATGCGATGTTAATAACTTACCAATATATTCTATCGGATGTTAATAGTATCAATCATTAAAGATAAGTTGTTGTTATAAATGTAGCAATTAATCATGCCGTTATCTGTAAAGGAAAAACCTTATTGTTTAATACCAGGTGAAGTCAGTGCTTGAGACTAAAATTAGTATTTGCAGATTATTAACAATTACAACTTGTATTGTTGTTATAGCATTATGCCAAAATACCTTTTTCAAGAGTATTAAATACATGTTTACAATACCTTCATTTGCATTTAATTTTTAACTAAATCATATTGGATTAATAAGGAAAAAAATGAATTAACTGATATAAATTTTTATATCATCTTTCTTTTTTTGTGTACCAATTAAAAGAAAATCAATCGTTCTTCTTCTTTTTCTGCATAGATATACATAACAAGAAGAATGTATCTATGAGGAACCAATTGAAAATTCTATATGAATACACAGATGTCACTTCTATATATTATCATTAGAATTGATGAACGATGAACATGGAAATAAAGAGAAAATTAACATCATATTTACCTTCCTTTTTTTGTGTGTGTGTGTGTTTAACTTTTCAATGTTGAACGTTTCAGTTTTTATTATTATTAATAGAACAATAAATGATCTTCTCAGTACAACACTATAGGAATGCATTAGGTGAAAAGATAGAAGTAAAAAATCTGTTTGATAATGTACTGTTGAAATATTGAAAAACTTTACGGCTCATTTTTATAGAACTTGAAAATTTCTATTGCATAGTTATATCTAATAATTTTCTCAACAAATTTGTTTTTGTTTTCAATTTAAGAGAACAAATTCTTTTTTTGTGCGCGCAAATCAAACGATTTATTCGAGAAAAAAGTTCCTCTTTTGCAAGTTTGTGATTCAATGTAGAATAAGTTTAATTCAATTATGTCAAAATATTTTTTTACTTTTGATCGAGTTAAAATCACAAGAGAAAATTTGTGGTTGACATAAGCCTTGCGTCCAGAGAATAAAATATATCACATGAATTCGAACATATTTCATTGTAATTGAAATAGTGTTTTAGTAAAACGAGAACAAATAGCAGAGATTCTCAGAAGAAGCTCATTCATTCTGTCGCACTCATTATAAATGCTTACATTTTATTGTTAAATCAACTGTGAAAAATTTTCAAGTGGTTTCATTGTACACGGTTGGAAAAAATATTATTCCAGGGGGGTAACGCTATAATTTCAAATAGAAGACATCATAAATTTTATATTAAATGAAAGCTCGTTAAAAATGGGGTTTACTGGTATTAAATAGTGAGGGTTATGAAAACCTTTTAATGTAGAGCTTAATAAATTTTCAGAAATTTTATACTTTTTTTGGGATGGAAAATTAAAGTACTAGTGATTCAAGAATGAAGTAAAATGTTTTTCTTGAATATTTTTACACGGTTCGATAGAGCTCGTCGAGCTCTATAAAACTGTATACATTAAAAAATTTTTAAGATACTTTTTTGGCGATAAAAAATTCAAAAAACTATTTGGAAAATCTTAGAAAACATGAAAAAAATTCATATTTTTCATGTGGAAGAACAACACTTACTTTTTCAATAAAAGTAGCTTTTTTCATTGTTTTTACTCCGTCAGGCGTTTCGAAACATACTCATTAGACGCAGCTTTCCACACTGCATCGAACGAGTATATTTCGAGACGTCTGAGGTAGTAAAAACAACGAAAAAAAGCTACTTTTATTGAAAAATTGAGCGTGTTTCTTTAATTTGAAAAAAAAAAGAGTTTTTAAATGTTTTTGAGGTTTCCCGAGTAGTTTTTTGAACTTTTTATCTCAAAAAGATACCTCAAAAATTTTTTAACATGCACAGTTTTGTAGAGTTCAACGAGGTCTATCAAACCATGTAAAAATATTCAAGAAAAAAAATTGACTTCATTTTTGAATCAGTGGCACCTTGATTTTCCACCCCAAAAAAATATAAAATTTCTGAAAACTTCTTAAGTTTGACATTAGAAAGTTTTTACAAGCCTCACTATTTAGTATCAATAAACCCCATTTTTGACGAGCTTTCATTTGATATAAAATTCATTATGTCTTCTATTTGAAATTATAGCGTTACCCCCCTGGAATAATATTTTTTCCAACCGTGTACATAAAAAAAAACGAGAAAATATTTTTGTTACAATTTGCATGATTTGTGAGTTATGACATTCAACAATAATAAAGATTTAGACAATGGTCAGAAAGTTTCTGATGTTTACTATACGCTTTAAACATCAGTATTAATCATATTTTATAAAGAGATCAAAATAGAATTTAAAATCACTGTGAAAAAAAAAACGTTATGTGAAGCAAAAAACGCTTTAAATTTAGTTTCAAAGATCATAATCGATAAAAAATTTTGTTACTTCTTCTATGTAAATAAAGTACCAAATATATTATGATACAATTCTCTATAATAAAATTAAAATGATAAAAAATGTTAAATGCTTATAATAACAAATTCTGTCATCAAAAAAGACGACTAAAATATAACATATAATAAAATAATTCATATTAGACAAAAATGATTATATATACAAAAAAAAAAAGACATTCACTTAAAAGTTCTGTATTAATAATAATTAAATTCTTTGACAAATCGCTTTCTTTTGTATTCAGATAAGCAAAAACTCGAAAAAAAAATAAGATCACATTATTATCTATGACTGTACATTTCTTTCCATCGTCAATACATAAGCAAAAAGAGCATAAAGACCAACAATAAAATATGCTCCTCCTGGTAATGTGTAAGCCAAAGCCAAACGTTCAGTTTTTTCTGAAATCAAACCCATCAATGGTGTAAATATAGCTCCACCAATTATTGCCATAATAAGAAGACAACCAGCTAATTTCGCTGTATGTCCACTCATACCTTTAATACCTAAAGCAAATATTGTTGGAAACATAAGTGACATAAAGAATGATGTAATAAAAAGTGCTACAAGTCCAATTCTATTTGGCATAAGAACAGTAATAACAATCAGTAATACATTAATAAAAGCAAATGTAGCTAAAAGAATTGATGATGAAAGTCCACAATGCATAAGTAAAGCAGCTATAAAACGGCCAAGTGCAAACATAATTAATGTACCAGTTAATAAATAACCACTAATTTTTTCTCCAACTTGAACATAATCTTGAGCATATTGTATAAAATATGACCAAGTACCAACTTGTGCACCAACATAAGCAAATTGTGCAATAATAGAAAATAAAAATAAACCTCGACAAAGAGTATTTACTCCATCAGATTTTTTATTTTCTTGATTTTTTCTTGTTTTTGTATTAGTTGGAAATGGTACAATAGCAATAAATAAAGCCCATAAATATGCAACACCACCAATTATAACATATGGTCGAATAACACGTAATGTTTCAGTTTTTAAATAATTATCATATGTATTATTAATACGCATTTGTTCAATTTGTTTTTCATTTAATTCAACACCAGAAAATATAAATAATGTTCCAAAAAGTACACCTATTATAGCACCTAATGGATTAAATGCTTGTGCTATATTAAGACGTTTTTCTGATGAATGTTCAGGTCCAGCTGCATTTGCTATAAATGGATTAGCTGCAGTTTCAAGAAAAGCTAAACCAGTTGCAATAATAAATAGAGAAATTAAAAAAAATATATATTTTCCAATATATGCTGCTGGCCAGAAAAGAAATGATCCAGTACCAAATAGAATTAAACCCATAATAATACCAGTTTTATAACCCCAACGACGAAGAATAATAGCTGCAGGTAAAGCCCATATAAAATAACCCATATAAAAAGCTGATTGAACAAGACCAGCTTCAAAAGGAGATAGAACAAAAGATTTTGAAAATTGTCGAATAAGTACACCATTTAAATTATTTGGTATACCCCAAAGAAAGAAGAGAAATGTAACAAGAATAGTTGATAAAAATTAACATTTAGTTTTAGATTGTGATTGTACTTCATTATTTATATGTTTATTTTCATCTAAAATAGGTTCAGTTTCAGGTATATATTCAATATCTATTGTTTTTAAATGTTCATCAATAGTCTTATTATTATTATTAAGAATAATTTGTGTAAGACTTGGATGTGATTCATTAAGAATTTTTGTAAATTCAATTGTTATTTGTTCACCAATACGATTATCACTTAAATCAAGTGAAATTAATGTTGAATTTGTTCGTAATGCATCAGCAATAAGTGCTCCTCCATCTGATGAAATATTATTATGTGTAAGAGATAAATATTTTATAGTATTATTATGTTTGATAAGACTAGCAATAGTTGCAGCATCAATATTATTTAAATTAGTTAATATTAAATTTTGTATACTTTTATTTTTTTTTAAACCTTCATTAAGAATTTGATCAAATGAATAAACATGTAAAAGAACTGAATCAAAAGTTAATTCAATTAAATAAATTTGTTTACGTAAATATTCAGCTAATATTTGAGCATCACTTTCATATAATTGAAGATCAATTAATGATAAACAACGTAAACGAGTATTAGTAAATATTGAAGTCCATAGAGATGAAATAATTTTTAATCTACCATTTGAACTTAATATTACATGAATATCTTCATTCGTATCTGATGAAGATAATATAGTAGATGATGATGATGAAAAATTTTCACCAGATATTCGTATTTCAAGCATTTCTTTTTCTCTACAATACAAAAAAAAAATGTGAAAAAAAAAACAAATACATGATTATATCGACTCTTGGTTTACTTGCTTTTTTTTTTCTTTTACTCTCTTCACAACAAGTAGGAAACAACCTTGCAAGAACGAAAGCACGCGTGTTTGTCATATATAAGTACAGAAGAAAAAGAATTTGTTTTCAAAGAATAGAAAGAGTAAAAAAAAAAAAGAACATTAGCTCTCTTTGTAGGCATATTCACGCAATGAATATATATGAAAGAAATATGAATAATTTTGATACTTATTTGAAAATGTAGCAATAAATATATTCTGCATGTGATCGAATGTTAATAACGCAATACTGAATTAGTAGATTAAATCTAAATTCTTTTCATATATGAAACATTTTCTTCATTAAAACATCATTCTTGTTTTTCTTTTTTTTATATAAGAAATAGTTTTGTTTTCTCAATGTTAGACATAAAAACTATTTTTGAAGTGTTTCATAAAAAAAAATAAATGTATTCAAAATAAGAAAAACTGATGATATTTAATTTGAAAATTATATATAATATAAAATATTGTTTTCTCTATAATATTTTTCAGATTTGAATATTAAAATTTCAAGAATTTTAATACTTATCAATTTTCGAAATTTAACTTCTTCAGAGAGATAAATTAATCTCTAAAGTTCTAACCATGTATACATCGAACTCAAACTCTGACTTGATGTTCGGAATGATCTGTTTGTATTCGCATATTTCTAAACACTATTGACTTTGTTTAGGATATCTGTAGATCTATCATAGGCAAGCCTGTAATCCTTTCTTTTGGCTTCCTTCTATTAATTAACTGAAAAATGACTGGATTCGAACGTTTGAGTTCAATGCATGTTTAATTCTAGTAAAATTCTTTTTAGTTTAGTTGCTTTTTATTGAATAAATGATCAGAAATTATCCTACAAAATGTACTATATGAAGTTCTTATTGTTTTTCATAAATACTCATTTTTAAAAAATCGACAATTGTTTTACGTGAAAAGGAGTTCTTGAAAAAAATGCTCGTAACCTCACTCGGATAAAAGTTACAACTTAGTTCAATATCATATTTTTTTTAGAGAAGTGTCTTGGTCATAGTATAGTTGTACGTCTTGCTCCAAGTCAATTAATTGGTTCAGCATCAGAATGGATTCGATCTCTTACACCTTGACATTGGAATAGAAATTTAAGTGCAATGGCATCATGGGCTTATTATATACTTTATTCAAGTACAAATCCTACTGGTTATGGAAATTGGCAATGGTCTCGAGAATTACATTATATAACAACACGTGATTGAGAATGTGATTATAAACCGGAAAGAGATTGAACTTGATGATATACAACAGAAAGAAGCATTATATTTTCTTATTCATTTTATTGGTGATATTTATCAACCATTACATACAGCTTTTGCAAGTGATAGGGGAGGAAATCATGTTCGAGATTGAGTATATGAATTAAAAATTTAAAAGAACTGCCCCCCCTCTCTCCCCCCAAAAAAAAACAGTTCATTTTATTTAGGTTATTTTATGAATGAAATATTTCAAACAAATCTTCATGCTCTATGGGATGTTGACTTAATGATGGTGCGTCTTGAACGAGATTTTCAACAGGATACTTCTCGTTATTATGATTATATTTATCAATTAATGCTGAATCAATCATCTTGTAATAATGATGATGACAATAATATTAAACAATTGGTAAAAAAAAATTTTAATTTAGTTTGTACACAAATTTATTTCGATGAAAATAATGAATTCATCAGTTAATTTTTTATTTGGGAGAAATTTATTATCAAAAATATATACCAATTATTGAACAACGTCTTGCTCGTGCTGGTCGTCGACTTAGTACACTTCTCAATCAATTAGCACCAAAATCATCCGCAAAAAAACATCGGATAATAAAGCAAAACTTTGTTCTCATATAATTGCTCTTACTATTTTACTATATATGAAAGGTGTGTTAGTTATTGTTGTGAGGGTTATCACATGGATTCGATATAAGAATAAATCATTTTTTGATGAATAAAATTTTACTTATAATTTATTAAGATTAAATTTAATATACGAATTTCTATTGAAAATTATATTTGAAATTTCTTTTGACAACGTTTTAACCTCGAAAAGGACAGTTTCTAAGATCCTCTCTATATAAAAAAAAAATTCGCATTTTTTATCTTTTTTTTCAGAATATTTCCTGAGTTTTCGCATGACACAACTACTCGAGTTTATTCGAAATACGATCAATATGACGAAATCGAAAATTTTCCACTTCAAACTTATTTTTAGTAGTATAGGTTATTTTTTATATCCATTGCTATTCTTAATCCCTGATTGAAGAGTCAATATTTTCAGAATAGTTTACTCTTAGTTTTTAATTCTTTCGTTGACCATTTCATTTCTTCCATTAGTAATGAAAAAAAAAGAGGCGTCTTGTAGGTATAAAAAAAAAGATACTCTCTAAACGTAAAAACCTATTTCATCGAATGCGCAGCAGTCGAAAACCTGTGAGAAACTTAAACAGTAAGGAACAAGGATGAATATTTAAGAGAAAATCAATATTTAATTTTGTTTTACGTTTTTCTCAAAATCTAATTTTATACTAAAAAAAAACACTGTTTCGCCGACACACCAAGAGGTCTCGAGCTGGAACTTCCTTCAACTGTATTAGCTACTATTTGACGTGGGTATTTTTTTTTTAATTTCAAAAACTATTGCTCTGGTAATTTTGGTAGCTTTTCGAAGAAACGGGAGCAAAAAGAGAGGTCATTTTGACCAATTGTTAGTCTAATATCTCGTGAAAGGTAGCACAACTTTTGCTTTACTCTTCAAGATCTATCTGCCATGAAAGTTTCGAATTTTTCTGATCAGCCGTTCTCTAGAAACCTTGGAAAGAGAAGAAGAAAAAATAAAATTCCTCTTACGTGATTGTCAAGCTATCTGATGAAACCGATCGGTAAATTTTTTTATATGATTTATTGACTCATTGCGATATCATTAAGAAAATATCTATTCGAAGGAACATTCGATCAACTTATGAATAATGGAAGAACTATTTGAAATATTATGTAGGCAAATTCTTGACTACTTTGAGTCCTTCTAAGGATTATCACGAGATAGGACTAGGCGACGGCTTCACACACACTCAATCATCAAAAAGTGTCGATTATCCAAAAATATTGTTCCGTCTATTGGCGGCATTGGTGATTTCACTCCAATTCTGAATACTGCGTGATAGTCCTTGTTCTAATTTCGAAGAGTATTCAGTAGCTACTTTGCACCTGAGATGATCCATTTGCTTTAATCTATAAAATTGATTTCGCGACACTTGACTGAGCTCACAGAGTAGTGTTATGATGAAATGAAATGCACCTTATTTAAAATTATTATTTACGTTAAATATTTATAGACGTCCATTTTTTTCGATTGTTGAATCTAGGGAATCTAAGAATTTTCAGAACCATTTATTCCTATAAGTATATGCAGACTACTTAGACCTACCATTGAAAAAAAAAGGAAGCTTTTTGATGATGACTCATGACTGTAAATTACGAAAATTAGTTTTAGTTTATTAGGGCTCATCAATATAAATTATACGTATAATTGATGAAGATTCAAGATATCGACTCTATGAATAAAACCGACAAGAATATATCGAAGCGAAAGAAAAAAAAAACAAAATTTATTTAATCAAGCGAATAATTGTCAATTCAGCTGCAATTCGAAAGATAAATCTAATATAATTAATTTTCAACAATAATATTCCTGTTTATCTCTCGAAACAAAACGAGAATAATCATACATCTAAAATGTAACTTTATTTTAGTATTTTTATTATTCAAAATACAAAATAATGATTTGTTACACGTGATTTCTATATGTCATTTATTGCATATCAAAGTAGTTACAAATATCGGATCTATGCCAAAACTAAGCGCGATTATTTGTGTTTTGAAACATCTAACTAGTTAACAGAAATACACGATGTTTGACTATTCTAATGACCGTGAGTCACGGCGTTTATGCCGTACCATAGTAAGATTTCCTTCTATCCAATTATGAGCCGACAGTCAACTACTTTTCCTAGATCTACCCTAGTCAATGTACTGAGTTCACGATACCCTGCTGCCAGTATGCTTCAAGAAACTTTGGGTGTTTTATGAGTTTTTAGCATTTGATTACGAAATGCTTCAATCTACTAACTCGTTGAAAAATTTTTTATAGAATGTTATAGAAACTAGGCGAATACCTAGTAAGTACCCATGTATTGAAATAATTCTTAGCAGAGTATCCGAAAAAGGTATCTTGCTGACAGGTGACTCAGTACACAGATATCTGAAACTCACAAGAGAATGTTCCTAAGTGTCAAATCGCTTTTGAGTCAGAACTATGTGCAGCCATGTAAATTTTAATGAGCTATGAATATCCTGAAAAGAGTTCGAGCTGATAACTTATTACTGCTGAGGTAGTATAATTTTTAGCATAGTGTCGTGACCTCGCTCAGGAACACTAGCAAACGTGAGTTTCGATCTTCGACTAGAAACTTTACATAGACACACGTCTTAACGACTATGGTAAAAGTTATTCTCGTTAAGGCATGTCTCTATGCAAGGTTTCGAATCGAAATTTGAAAATCAGTTTTCTTGAACTAAGACATTTTACTAAAAAATAACAGTATCTCAGCAGCAGTAACCTATTAGCTCGAATTCTTTTCAAGGATATTCATAGTTCATTAAAGCCTACATAATGCACATAATCCCGATTGAAAAGCGATTTAATACTTAGAAATATTCCTTCGTCAGTATATTTACTAGGGCACTAAATATCTGTTGTTTTCAAAACTAAGTTGAAAAATGAAAAACATCGTAAACTTTCTATAGTGAATCTACAGATAGTCTATTGAAATATGTCATTTAATAAAAATATTTTTCCAGATTAATTACAAACTTAAATCATATTTTTATTTTATTTAATTAAAAAATATTTTATTATTAACTCTGTATTACTTTTTTAAAGTCTTACATGTATAGAATCCATCATCGTATCAATATTTTCTTGCTTTTTTTTTTCTAATTTTTTTTTTCTATTAATAACAATAAATATAAGAAGGCCAATAAATAGAAACATATTAATATATGTAAGAATAATTATAGCTAAAGCACCACGTATAACTGTTGGTTGACAATAATTTAATATTATTTTACTATTATATTGAACACCTTTTGAATAGGCTGTATAAACTTGAATTTGTATGAGAATAAAAAAAATAAATGTAATTGCACCAAAAGTAAAACTAACAAGACCTTAATAATAATAATGATAATATAAAATTCATATTTATTGTTTTTTTTTGGTTCTAATGAAACAAAAAAAAAAACGAAAACATACCAACAAGAATTTTTGGCATTTTTCCAGATACATCACTTTGTTGTTTTTTTATTACAATCATTTTTAAAAAACCATAAGCTGTACCAAAGAAAAAAAGTGCAAATATTCCACCAATAGCCATAAGTAATGGTAAATCAGGTGCTGCTTGACATTGTTTATTAGGATCTTCTCCATTTTTAACAATATAATGAAATCCAATAGAAAGTTGAATTATAGGAATAATAAAATTTATTATAGCACATATAGTTATAAACAAATATTTCATCATTTTTTCCATCTTTATTTTGTGTAACGCTCGACTTCACTTACAATTAATCAAATGACGAAAGAATAAGAAAAAGAAATGGATGAAATTACAAATGTGACGACGAAGGAATATATGTAGTAAAAGCAAGCGTATAATGACAAAAGCAATTGGTGTCTGTAAGACACATACATGGTTGATGAGAAATAAAAATTAATGAACATAAATGAGAAGGTGAATATGAAAGAATTTTTTTTTTATCATATTTATCTCGTTTTTGTTCATATCGTTTTTGTCGACGTTTTAATGATATTGATGGTAATGTTAATGAAGCACATGCATAACCAGAAAAAAGACGAACATGTGCTTGTCGTAATATATTAAATGTATGACGCATATGTGATGATTCAAGTAACATTAATAAATTTTCATATTCAGTTTGATCAACAAGTTCACTTTTCATTTGTCGTTCTTCAATAAAATATTTTTCATGATTAAGTTTATTATTATTATTATTAATTAATTTTATAATATCATTAAATGAATATAATGATTGCATAGAATAATCATGAAATGCAAGTTGTCCATTAATATCAAGTTGAGCTGAAAGTAATGGATAATGTTGAAGAATCATTGAAACAAAATTTAATCGTTCATTTTCATTAGTCCAATTTTTATTAACAATTAATACAGAATGCTTTTGTCCTTCAACTCCACTACCACCACCACCACCACCAATACCTATACCATCTTGACAAAATGCTTTACCAAAAAGTGCACTAATTATACGTGCTTGATGTTCATCACCATGAATCTTTTAAATATAGAAGAAGAAGAAAAAAAAATTATCTATGAAATATTTGCGAAATTACAAATGTAAGAAATGATAGAGTTATTTTAATTCAAAATCTTATTCATTAATATGTATTATCAATATTAATTATAGTACAATGGTTACAAAAAAATCCCTAAACTTTAATCTTTTAGTCTGATTATTTGATCGCAAATGGGACATGTTGACCTCTGATCAGCCTCCATACGGAGAAGGTAGAAGATCAATATAGATTTTTATTTCACCCGAGAATATCTCAATATAGAAAACAAATCTCATGACGATAGACCCTTCATTCGACATGTCAAACAGTTTTAATTTGCCTAACTTATGAAGTATTCTTTGAATGATTTCCACATGAGAGTTGATGAAAATCGTCGAAGAGTCATCCTTATCGCCGACTAATTTCGATCATTCTCCTTGAAATTTTTCCCAGTAAATGCCATGCTCTAATCAAGTTTTCTCTCAAAACTTCACAATCGCATTTATTAATGGACAAGAAATTCTTGGTGAGACCGTCCCTAATAATGCAAGCTTCTCTACGTCTCAAGATTACAGCGGATTGGAGTATTCTATCTATGACACAATATAGACATACAAATCTTTATTTGTTAATAGGAAAATGCAGATTAACATATTTCAATAGTGAAAAACCAGAAAAGTATCAAAGAAGTCTTTTTTTGGGCTTAGAGAACAAAAAAAAGTTTACCAGTAGGATTGAAGTCTATATAATTTTCACCCGGTAGCGGAACTTCCTGCAGCTACTGTATGTCACGATTAGTGTAGGAAGAGAGAGAAGATGGCAGATATCTTAAGCTTTCCTTTTATAGTTTTAAATATGCAATCGGAACCATATTTATGATGTTCCAAAAGTCCGACCAACAAGAACCCATAAATAGCATCTCAGCAATTCAAGGTATTTGAATATTTTTTTTCCAATCTGATCAGATATTTATTAAAGTTTTCAAATGTAAAATGTCTATGTCTACAGAAATCAGAATTAAAATAGTTTTATTGATGACCAAATTTGAATTAGCTACTATTGTTAAACAAAAGCTCCAAGTCGAATTCGGTAAAAACATGCCAACTTAATCGTCTATTAGAACCATATTTTTGCTCATAACCATAAAAGGTATAATTGGTTAAACAGTTCTACGAAGAAGAGTTACATAGACCGAATACTTGATCTTTTCGAATTGGACTATGAGTAAAAACTATTTTAATTCTGACTTCTTTAGGTACAAACATTTTTATCTGAAATATATTGAATAAAACTTTAATGAATATGTGATGAAATTATTTTAAAAAAATATTTAAACCTTTTCAATTGCTGAAGAACTATGCATAGTTTTTTTTTCTTCGTTCGGATTTTTGAAACATCATTTATATTTATAATTAAATGTTTATTTTTCAATTTGAATAATACAATGTATATTTATCGAAAGAATCAAGTACAATCGTCTAAACAGTTCTAATTTTGTTTTTTGAAATTTTTCTGATTCAGTTTTTAGCGTTGTTGAATAATTCTGATTTTTTGAACAAAAGTTACGAAATTATTCGTCAAAAAATTAAAAACAAATTAGAACGATTTTGTAAAAATCTAGATGCACTACAATATATGCAAATGTCGAAGATAAGTTTTGAAAGGATGAGAAGTCAAAAAAAGTAGAAATCTACTATAATTTAATACAAAAAATTGTAATATTTCATATCGCTCTGAAGTATCAACTGAACAAGGACATATGATACAATTGCCTACAAAACATGAAATTAGTATGATATATATTTTTTTTTTTGAAAAGAAAATAGTTGGTGAAAATTTTCCTACACCCTTCTTACAGGTCTTAGCAACTAATGCCAAGAATTATTGAGTAAAAATCTTTCTCTAACAGCCGAAGAGTGCAGGCACTAGATCTTTTTTCTTATAATTCCTTAGCAATGAAAAAAAAGGTGCTGAATTGCATTAACAATTAGGTTTAGACTGTTCTCGAACATTCTAAAGCCTTTCTTCAAATTCAAATGATTGAAATAGGTTTAATATTTCTAAGTTTATCGAACTACATAATAGAGTACTGAGACCTATTATATAAATAATGAATGAGTACAACAGGTTTCTTTGTCAGTTAAATCAACTATTTAAATAATAATAGTCAATTCAAATCAATCGAATTTCGAAACGTAAAAATAAATATGCCCGATCGTTTGTCTAATGATTAATTATCCTTGAAAAGGAAATTTTTTATTTAACGTATTTTATATTTATTATAATGAAACTAACGAAGACATGTAAGTTTCACATTTTAGCCTCGAGGGCAACTATTCTGATCAACTTTTTTAAGTTATTTTAAAAAAATTTTTTTTTTTTAATGTTATTTCACTATTGAAAAATATAGTTTATTATATAGAATAAAAAATGTTTTACTCACTTCAATAAACATATTTGGTTCTAGACCCCATTGAGTTGTTTGTGAAAATCCTGATCGAAGAACAATTTTATGTTGAGGAACTAATTTAGATAATACTTTTATTTGTGCTTTTCGATCTTTTTCTTCATTTTGATCGATTAATGTATTTACAAGTAAATCATGTAAATAACGACATTGTTCAAATCGTCGTTGACCAACTTGATTGCCGGGTACAGACGCAATTTGTATAAGAAAAGTACCTTTTGACGTCATTGATAAATGAATCTTTCTGACAAATAAAATATATTTCAAATGCTTTTATAGAAATGTGTCACACTTGCACTGTAAGTACGAATATTTTTCTTTTCTTTTCTTTCACAATGCACCATATGGAGATAATAAAATTATCGATAAGAATGTTTTATTTCTTGTTGACAATACTTTATATTTATGATAAGATGCAATGATAAGAAAGCCGCTTATCCAATAGCACGTTTATTACAAATATCAAAAAACAAACTATTCATAGTAACTTAATTGATAAACTGACATACGTAGATTAAATATGAAAATAATTCTATAAAGCGATAGCAAGAAGTGTAGTGTACTGATTAAAATCGATGAAGTAATAATAGAAAAAAACAAAGAACTATTCTAATAGCTAATGGAAAAGGAAAATACATCACATTCTTCTATCTATACATGAATAAAACAAATTAAAGTAACACGTGTATTTATAATCGCTGATAAAAATATTTCACGTATAACAAGCGATCGAATTGTATATGAACGAAATGTTGCTTGATTAATAGTACTACTACCAGCACTAACAAATGTTGTTAAAAATATTGTAATTAATATATGTTATGAAATAAGTTCACAGAAGAATCACAATATAAATAATCAATTAGATTAAATAATAATATTTTCTTTTCCTTTTTTTTGTTTTTCATCTATGTGTATTATTGAAAGAATAACTAACATGAAAAGTACATGTGGTTAATTCATTTAGTGTCAATAAACGAGCTAACTAGTCATTGAATGTTTCGAAATTCAGTGAAGTCTCAACAATAACAAAATGATAAAATAAAATGTAGAAACAACGTGATAGACCTTGAGTTGTAATTATTTTCTTCTTCTTCTTGTTCTCTTTTAGTTGTACACAAAATGCATGGTTTTACTATGATCTGACATAAAAGAGGAAAAAAAAACAAAAGTAAAATAATGCGTTAACAGATAGTGTTGTCCATAATAATCGTCATCATTATTTTGGTTTCTCTTTCTTTAAAACATTTTTTTAGTACATAAAATTATATGAAATAGGAAAACAAAGTCAAAACGCATCTTTTTCTTTTCAATATCAGGAATTTCATCTCACAAAGAAAAACATTGAACAAGTATTACAAAAAAAAAGGAACAGGTGTTATTATCTATGTTTGTTTAGTGTTACATGAGCCATAACGATCCGAACAATCAACAATTCACACACGCACGTACACGTACACGACCATAGTTGACATAAGTAAAGCATAGAATAATATGGCCGGAAGCGCAAACATAACGTTCGTCATCGTTACTATTCATTATCGGAAAACATTCAGAAAAAGGAGACGATAATTGAACGTGTTAATACATTTGTCTGTCAATCATTTATACGTGCAACATACTTGAATAAGTGAGCAAATAATTATGTGGAAAGTTGCTATCGACCATATTGAGATCTATATTGACGATAATAATGGCGACGAACAGGTAGAGATAAAATCATATTTCAGATTGATTGATTGATTGATATTTACCGCAGGAAAAATTAGCAACATTAAGAGAAAGAAGCAGAAAGACATTTCTTTGTTATATTGAGAAGTCACATTTCGGTGAGACATAGAAAATGAATTATGCAGCTCGTAATAGTTATTTCAACTATAGGACAGCAATCACAATATCCGTGAGATTCTCGTTAAGTATGGTGTCTTTGTATTATATGGAACCTTTTTTTTTTTATATTTAGCTTAAACGTAGTTCGACCGAAATATCTCATCCACCAGCTTTACTATCTCAATCGAGTCGTGCACCATTAGTTTCATTTGATGAACACGGCGATATTCCATATCATGTCGTGGGTCGATCATCTTCATCTGTTGTTCCTTCTACTTCTCAGCATAATATTATTTTCCATTATTGCTTTAATTGTTGTTCATGGAAACGATTTCGAAATGATTTTTGCCATATTTTTTCTCAATTTTTATTTTCTCAAGTTGGTTTATCGATTCTTGTTTTTGTTTATGTTATTCTCGGTGGTCTTATCTTCTATGCAATTGAATCAAAATATGAATCACATAAGAATGAACAAATAAAACGTGAACATATACGTGGAATTCGTAATATTCGTCATATAGCTACTGATGAATTTAATTGGATGTTGAATGCATCATTTGAATTACGTTATGCACTTTGGCGTGGAATGATATCACGTCAAGATGGTTATGATAATACCGGTTGGCGTGTACATATTAATAATGAAAGATTTGATAAATTAATTGATGATGAATTAGCACGAATGCAAGGTGAACAAGAAAAATTATCAGATAAACATGATACACGAACAGATATGTCGTATAATCAAAAATGGACATTTTCAACAGCTATGCTCTATTCAGCAACAGTGATAACTACAGTCGGATATGGAAATATAGCACCCAAGTCAATATTAGGTAAAGTTATGACATGTCTTTATGCTATGTTTGGAATTCCAATTATGATTATGTGTTTAACAAATACGGGTGATCTACTTGCTTTTTTCTTTATTAAATATTACTCTTTGACAATTAATTTCATTCAACGAACGATTAGACGATGTACACAACGACAACGACAACGAACAAAATTATCTCTTGAGGTCTGTATAAAACAACATTTTACTAGGATAATAAATTCATTGAATTTAATTTTTATTTCTAGATAGAAAATAAGTCTGTACAACATGTACCGGTTGCAGCAACACTTGCTGTTCTTGCTTTATACATTGTAGCCGGTGCTATTTTATTTTCTCATTGGGAGGGATGGTCTTATGTTGATGGTGCTTATTTTTCATTTATTACATTTACTACTATAGGTCTTGGCGATTTAGTACCTGGCAAAGGAACATTGACAGAAAATAAAAATGGCAAATCAATTTTATGTGCAATCTATCTTCTGTTTGGTCTTGTTCTTACTGCTATGTGTTTTAAATTGATGCAAGATGATTTATTTGCTATGAAACAAAAACTCTTTGCTCGTCTTGGCTTGGAAACACATCATCAAGAATCACATATTCGTGAAGATGTCAAGTGACATTTTTGATTTGTCAAGAATTTTATACGTGTTGTTTTATTTATCTAAAAATAAAGAGAGAAAATAGAATCTATTGCTTTTTCATTATTTTCTTACAATCATACACGTAAGTCAACATCATACATAACACAGGTAGAATATATTAGAAGAATTAATTGTTTTTCAGCCAACAAAGAATAATTATTCGTTGAAGATTGTTTCACTTTTGAAGTAAAATGATATTAGCGATTTGTTTTCTAACAAAAAAATTAAATGTTAAAAACTTTCAATATCAATCAAATTGTTGCCAACATGAGGCAAAGATATAGTACATGATCAGTATGATTACATTCTGTTGAAAAATGCATACATAAACAATTGAATATAATGCGAATTTTCTTTCAAATTAACAGAGAAAAATTTTGATGAAATTGACATTCATATTGCTGAAAGCTATTCATATTTTCCTATCAAGGTTATATTGTCCTAAGAAAGTCTCTCAATAGTTGATGTGTCGACTTATATTTCTTTTAAATTTCAATGGTATTTAATATTATCGATTATGAGCTTGACAATAAATCCTATAATATTTTAAGTTAAAAAAAAAACGAAAGAAAAGACATCAGCCCCAGCACGCAAAGTTACATATCTAATTATATGCATTGTTTGTATATAGATCTAGGAAAATATGTAAGAGAAGAAAAAAAGACCAACCAGAGAATAATTTATTGTTTTACTATACTATCTAGTATATATACTACTACCAGATTTTAATGTCAAATATAGTCCACTGATTCGTTTCTATGTCTGATATTCAATATAAAGCAATTTATTGTCTGAACTAAATATCATCTAAGTAGAGGTGTAAATCAGTCGTCGATCAATGCATCGACTTACACCTTTACATTAAGTTTTTTTTGTATTCTGGGTAAAAATACGTATGAATATTTTTCTCTAGGACAATGACTAAATAACTTCAATTTGTTCGATAAAGTATTTCAATAGCTACAAAAATATATTTAAATTACAAAGTAAAGTTCAACTTAATAAAGAAGGATAGAACAGTAATTAATATCAAAGTTGTTTTTTTTTTCATAGCGACTATACCAGTAATTCTATGCTTACATGAAATTTCAACTCAAAAATAACTTTTAATAAGAGCTTTTCTTATTGACCTGGTGAGAATATACTGATCCAGCATAGGTTGCATATTTAATGAATTTGTTGTTTGTCTCCAATTATGCTGGAACATTTTCAAAATATTTCTATCTATTATCGGAATTTTAAAAAAAGGCCATCGGGCAAAATGCTTATAACTTTTGAACGAAAATAGCTAGAGCCCTGTAGTTTTCATCATTCGAAAGGGGAGAGATGGGGACGCCTTTTCCTCCAATATTGTATACAATGAAATCATTTAAAAATCAGTCATTTCTACAAAATATCGAAAAAATGTATAAAAAACGGTCTGTCATTCAGATGAAATTTTGACGAAAAGTAAGAAAATACGCTTAAAACTTAAAAGAACTCTATAGTTTTCGTGCGATTGAATAGACAAGTTTATTTGTTCAACATTAGGAGGTGGAAAGATAATTATTCGAATTATATCTTGAACTATACATCTCAAGTTCCTCTATCAAGATCAGATGTCAGAACCAAAATTTCATCGGAATGACAGATAATTTTCATGCATTTTTTCGATATTTTTTTAAAAATGACTGATTTTTAAATGATTTTGTTCTATACAATATTGGAGGAAAAGGCGTCCCCTTGACTCTCCTTTCGAATGGTGAAAACCGCAGGGTTTTAGCTATCTTCGTTCAAAAGTTATAAGCGTTTTTACCCGATGGCCTTTTTTTAAAATTCCGATAATAGTGTTTTGTCCAAACATCATTTTTGGTCCCTATCAAAGATTTGCTTTCAATGATTCAAATTCAAGTTTAAAAAAAAATTTTGAATTCATATTTAGAGAGAACATCAAATTTTGATTCTAACTGACTACTTTGCATCTGCTCAAGTTACTTCCAAGTGACCGAAACATGAACAAACATTTTGTATGAAGACTTTCTTGACATAGGTTATATGTTGCTTTTTTTGTCAGCGTTACCAAGAACGGATGTTTTACTAATAGTCTTTACCTTACCACCAGGAAAAAAAACAAAAAAACTAATAATCGTCATCATTTCTACTATCTTCGATGAAGTTTTTGAAAAACTGTAAGATATTGTCATATCACTTACAATTTTTTAATTATACTTCTATGCATTATGTTTTTCTTGTTCTTGTATCAATATGAAGTTTTCAATAGTCTAACTTAAAATGTACTGACATGTGCTGACATCACATTTATATATCTGTCCATTCGTTATCTCTTTGGGTATGTTTATTAGAGACATACAATGTTACATTAATCAACAAGAGAAAAGCAAAAAAAAGAAGCAATATTTTATTAATTTAATCAAAATTAGAAAATGTTACTATATCATCTTTGGTTATTATTACAAAAATCACTTCGTTATGCATGGCGTTTTCGTCTATGTCATTGTTGTCCTAAAATAATATTTGAATTACTTGTTCCTGTAATATGTCTTCTTGTTTTAATTCTTATTCGTTGGATACATACAACATCTGAAACTAATAATAATGTTTCAACCTTTAATCAAACAAAATCTACACCTATTAAATTACAACCATCTTCAATTATTGCACAACGTGAATCTATGTATATTTTTAATTATACATCAATAAATGAATGTCCATTGTCAGATATAATAATAAAAATAGTTGATAATAATTTATTAAATCGTCTCAAAAGTCAATGTCCACATAGTAGTTTTATTTCAATATCAAAACCTGTAGGACATAATGGATATTTTTTACTTAATAATACTTCAACAGGACTTAGTATTAGTTATCAATGCCAATATGATAATCAAGATTTATGTCAAAATATTAGTATATTAAATGATATAAAAGATTCACAGTTAATTCAACATCCATCATTATTTCTATGTTCAAATAAAAATTTTAATGAAGCAAATAATTTATTACAAGTTTATCTTGCAATTGTATCTCAAATAAACCCATCAATAAAAAAACAACAATTATCTATTTATACATGGCCATGTTTATCATATGCATCTGATCCTATGTTTGACATAGCACCATATTTTGTATTAATTATTATTCTTTTTTTTATTGATGGATGTATTTTATCGAGTTTTAATTTACTTTTTCATTCTTTAATTGATGAAAAAAATCAAGGAATAATTGAACTTCTTCGTCTTATTTCTATTCGTCCAATATTAAATAGTTTTGCTTGGTTTCTACGAGTTTTTTTTATACAATTAATAGCAAATATATTATTAATTTTAATATTAAAAAGTTCATTCGATGGAGGTATTTATTTATCATATGTATCAATTTGGTTAATTATTCCAACGATTTTTATTTGGACTATTCAAGTTCTTTCACGAGCTGTATTTATTGCTCATTTTTTTAATAGTAATTTAAAAGCAACAGTTTGGTCATGGTTTATTTATATTATTTCATTTTGGTTAGCACTTTCATCATCTATACGATTACCAATTCTTTTTCATTTTATTGCTTCAGTTTGGTTACCATTTTATTCAATAAAACGTTTATTTATTCTTCTCTTTCGAATAAATACTAATTTAGGTCGTAATGATTTAAAGAATGAAGTTATATTAATTTGGTTCTATATGTTAATTGGTAGTCTTCTTATGTGGTTTTTAGCATATTATCTTGAAAAAACTCGAGCAGGTAAATATGGTATTAGACGTCCATGGACATGGCCATTGGATTATTTTTGTAATAATCAAATAAAAAATCAAAAACGACGTGAAAGTATTGATATGCAAATGGTTGAAACATTACCTGATACAAATACTACAGTTCGAGTAAATAATTTAACTAAAATTTATGGTCGATTTAATACAGAAAAACAAATAGCTGTTGATCATGTTTCATTTAAACTTGAAAAATCTACAATCTATGGTCTTATTGGTCATAATGGTGCAGGAAAAACATCAACAATGGAAATGATGTCTGGTTTATTATCATGTGATTATGGTACAATTGAAATTCATGATAAAGATTTACATGAAAATTTATATGAACTTCAAAAATGTATTGGTTATTGTCCACAACAAGATATGCTTTTTTCACATTTAACTGTACAAGAACAATTAGAATTTTATGCACGTGTTCGATCAAAAAAACATAATATTGATTATAATCAAATTCAAGAATTACTTACTATGATGAATATGAATACATATAGTAAATATTTATGTCATACATTATCAGGTGGTATGCAACGAAAATTATCAATTTTATGTGCATTTGTTGGTCATGCTAATGTTATTATATTAGGTAAGAAAGAAATGTTTTAATTAGAATAAAATTTAAAAAAAAAGCTATTAGCACAATTCCTGTAAGATTACTTTATTTTATCTGTTTTTGGACACATTTCTTCACAGTTATTTTAATCCTCTAGAAATGCAATAAGGTAGTAGTTCATATATTATTGATATAAAGTAGTGGAAAAAAGTTTAGAAACAACGATTGTTTTTTTTTGGTTTTTTTCATAATGTTAAACACGTAGCTCCAATCCAAATAGTGATTTTAATAGCCAATGGAGTTTTATATTCAATACATTTTATAGCAAGATTTCACAGATGAACAATGATGACAAGGCTTCTAAAAAACCGAACATGGTATTTGTCAGGTTCTAGAAGGCTTTGCCAGAGCTATTTTTGAACAGTATCATCTTAAAAAGTATAAAATTCTGAGCAAAATGAGGGATCGTCTAGTTTTCTACGACTTCCTCATAAAGAGTTACAAGCATTACAAAAATCATGAAAAAGGCGTTTTTAGTCGATCTTTAAAAAAATTTCGTTTTTTCATGATTTTTGTGATGCTTGTAACTTTTTACGAGAAGTTCGTAGAAAACTCGGCGATCCCTCATTTCGCTTAGAATTTTGTGCTCTTTAAGATGGTAC